ATCATTAAAACAGTATTTTGCTTTTTTGGGTTTGTATTACATTCTTAATTTTCAATACAGAAGCTCACTATTTAAACATTTTGTGATGTGTCCCTCAACTGGATTTGTTAGTGGCATTAAACGAACATTAAAACCTAACTAACTCAATCTCTCCCATTGACATTGTGGTTACTTGAACAGCTCTGGGAACAATAAGACTAGTTTGCTGGCTCACCAGTTCTGAATGATGAGTAAACTTAAATTCAAGTAAAAAAATAATGTAATAAGTAAATAAATAATTTGTAATTGGTATTAAAATTAATTTGTTATTAATTCTTACTCTAATTGTAATTTGTAAATGACTTGTATAAAATTGATAGATATTACACTTGACTAACTTAATCTCTAGTTCAAACCATAACAGTTGTTTTTCATGAAAGTTGATGGTATAAATAGTATCTTAACCACCACTATCTGTTGTATCCCAGCCAGTCTAATGAGCCCTGGTATTGGGTAAAAGACTTTGTCAGCATTGGATATAGCAGATAGGTGTGCCTGACATATTTAATACATTAGTAAATTTCAAGAACGTTCACTCTTAAGTTTTTGGAATTAATAATGTAGTCTTCTCCTGTTGAAGCTTTGGTTGCTTGACCTGCTCTGCGGACAATAAGATTAGCTTGCTGGTTTGACAGTTCTTCTGAATAATGAGTAAACTGTATTCATTAGTTTATGCTAATTACTTTAATTGTCATATTCATCATTGTTGTTACTTCCTTTTTTTAGTTATTATTATAAACTTTTCTGAGTCTAATTGTGTGTACTTTTTAGCTACTAATAACAGTTTAATATTATTTATTACTTACAGCTCCCTGCTCCATTGTCAGGTGACAGAGATTAGTCAAGATCATATTATTTGTGTTATGTACACTCATAGTAATTTTAGTTTATTATTTTCCTTTTAACACACATAAATTAATTAGAATACCAATATTCTTACAACTTATTATGTGATTCTGTTATTCATTTAATTTATTTATTATTAGTTTTTAACTTCAGAAACATTAGTTTTTGATGTACTGTCTGTCTCTACCATCCTGCTACTCAACTCTATAGCTAAACAAGAACATGTTGTAGTAACTTATCTAAGGTGTCAAGCTGCTCTAAAGTTACACTGTTGGTGCCCTTTAATGGGCATTCATAGGTCATAAAACATTGTTAGGAGGGTTAAGCGTTTCTCATACTGGTATAATTTCTTGAAGAAACATATACAATTGTAAATGAAACAAACCACTAGTGTTTATGTGTTCTCTATATATGTTATGCTGTATTATTTCTTTGACATTACTTTCATTAACAGTATTGGGTTAAAATGTTAAGATACCTATTTTTATTTGCTGTAATTATAATTTTTATTATAAAGATTTGTTTGAATTGTTAGCATAGTATGTGGATTTAGAACTAACCTAAATCTGCTATGCTGGCTGAATATTTTGGAATATTATTTGGATTACTGGTGAAAGTTTCCCCAACAGCAAATTTACCTAACTGATGAAATAGTGCATTCAAATCATTATAAGTAAAATGTAAGAACAGTATATTAAATTAATTATATTCATTACTGGATTAATTTTTAGTTCTGGGTTGTTTACATAGCTTGTTTTGATCAGAAGATAATTATTTATATAATCTTCTTCAGTCTGTAATGTTAATATTAAAAGTATACTCACATAGTGTAATTAAAAAAGTTATGTATACTGAAACTAATTTTGTGAATTTTTATTCAAAATATTTTATACTTACAAAAAACAATCATAACTAATGAATATTACACAGATACTCTGAGCAGTGTATCAAAAGTGTTACAATAGTACTATACTGATTATGATAAATCATATAAATCTTTGCTGTGTTCAGTTGATGACAGAAGAGATGAGTAAGAGAGGGAAAACTGTCATTGATGAACTGGATGAAACACGTGGACAGATGAAATCCATGCAGGAAAATTTTGTAAGCGTAGAGTCAGGGTGGAAGGAAGAAAAGGAAAAATTTCAAAAAGATTTACAAGATCTGCAGGAAAAACATGAGTTAGAAAAAAGTGAGAAAGAGAAAAAAATTGCTGAGCTTGAGTCAAGCTTGAAGAAGCTAGAATCGGTACGGTTTGAACTTGCAACCAAAAATGCCCAACTCCAAGAAAAAGTTGTCTACATGCAGGAAAATTTGGAAAAATGGAAAGAAACCCAACAAAAAAAATATGAAGGTGAGTAAAGTTGTTTTTAGCAAATTAACTAAATATAATAATGAAAACATAATTTTTTTTACTTCCCTTTAGTTGTTCTGATAGTGTCTAAACATATCCTTGGAATCCTTTTTTTTTTTTCAGTTATGTACAAAAGTTGCCTTCCTTTTGGTTATATTATATGCAGACCATTAAATAACTAAACTATCTATAGTTAAAGACTGTAGATTAAGAAAATACTGAACAATGTCATAATTTTGTAATCCTGCCCATACTTTAGACAAATACAGTCACAATAAGTTAGCAAGTTTTATCAACTTAAAAGTGTAACCTGTTAAGTTTTTCATTTCTTAGTCAGAACTATTTACAAATTGTGTTCTGAACCATTTTATTTCATCAAAACATTTGAAATGCTTTGACTAGAATCTATAAGCTTAACATTTGGGTTGAAACAGAGTTAAGAGAATATCTAGAAATGAGTAATAATAATATTGTAGTTTATAAAGTTAAAGAAGCTTTTTAATTGATATGTACCACACCTCACAAAGATTTTCCCAATTAAGTTTGACTTGCAATTTTTAGGATAGACATAACTACAGCACTGCCATAAATCTGGAGTCCAACAAGAAAAAAAAAATCTTAATTTTTGCTATAAAAACTTGCAAGGATGAGAACTACTGTGGGAGAAACATTAACATCGTCATCTCTATGTTATATCCACAAATTGATCTGTAGTTGCAATAAAAAGTTACTTATTTTATAAATATGATTATAATATAATTTCGTCTTTACTAATAGGTTGTTAAATGTGGGATTAGTAGGCTTGATCTATTTATACATGTTTTTGTAATGATTATATATATATATATATATACTTTTTACACCTATTTTTAAATGACCATCACTCTTGATTCCATTGAATGAATTTTAGTGAATGACCATTGATATTAACATCATTCAAAGATTTTGTATGTTTTAACACAAATAAGAAGAGTAATTCAGAATTGAGCAATGAAAAATCAGCATGATTTATTGGTTTACATAATGATAAGTCAATGGTTTGTTGATTTATTGTTTTGAAGGGTGCTGTTCAAAGAGTATTAGAGTGAATTTTTTACCATACCTAGGAATTGAAAGGTTAAGAACAGGAAAGGATGACCAACAAAATATTACAGATGGGAGAATAGTATTATTTGAAGAATTTAAGCATCAAATTTATTCAAAACATTCCCAAAACTAAATCAGAATTATAGGATATGCTTGGAATTAGAATCATTAATACCACATCTCAAAAACTTTGGATCCTTTGACTTGCAGCTCAGCATACTAACCTCTAACTTATTGAGAGTGTTGATTTTAGATAATAGTAGACAATATTCGTTGTTATGGAACTGCACTTTATGTGTCAGAGCTTGAAATTGACTGTGAGCACCACTTGTGAATGTGTGATAAGAAAGAAAGAAAAAGTAAATAGCTTCAAAGCTTAATTCAGGACAAAACTTGTTCTAAAATAATGCTGAACAGACTGAACATTATCAATGTTGACTTCTATCATAATTATTATGTCCGTATTTCATGTTATGTCATCATCAGTCTGTTAGGCCTAGAACTGGGCAAAGTTTCAAGAATCAAATCTGAGTGGGTATTTACGTTTCTGGCTACATTGTAAATTGTCGTAAAGATCATCAGTAAAGGTATTTGGTAACAGTAGGAAATATTCATCAAATAATCGACTGATTATTGGCAATTGATTAATCAGCAGCTGTCTCGCTTTCTTATCATCACTTCTCTAATGAGTAGCAACATTAATAATATCTAAGGTTTTGTAAATAGACATGCGTAAAAGTTTTGAGCAGTTATATTTTCCAAAAACAAAAATTATTGACCAATTTAAAGTTAATTACTGACAGTGTAAAATTAAGATATTTTAAGTTCCTGGTCCAGTCTTATACAGAAGCTACAAAATATAATAAGTCATAAAACACACAATGTAAAAATGAATTAACTACTTGGGTGAAGTAGGTAGTTGATTGTGATTTCTTACTTATAATTTTTATTTTGTTATTTAGAAGAACGAAATAGTCTACACAGTGAACTTGAAGAAAAAAGTTCTCAAGTGGCAGACCTGAAGAAACTTCTAGATGAAACCAATAGTCAGACTGAGAGCAAGATTTTGAAAGCCAGAGTTAAAGAGAGAAGCAAAATAAAAGCTTTAGAAAGATACATTGAAGAATTAAAAAAGGTTTTGTACACTAAATTGTTATGACTTTAATATAGTGTATTTCTTGTTTACCTTTGATTCTTAACTCTGGAAAACCAATTTAATTTCTACTATTTGGAAGATATTAGATAAATTATAATGATTTGTAGATAACAAATAAACTAGACAAAGTTTTAAATATTTTAAGGACATATTATACTTTCAGCAACATAGCTTAAAGCAACATATTTGTATGTGTGAAAAAGGAAATGTTTTATTAAATATCCTGGCATATATCATTAACAGTAGTTTAACTCTTTTTTTTTTTCATATGCTGTAGCTGTAATATCATGAATTAGTGCTTCAATCAAAGATTTCAAGGAAAAAATTTAGATTCAATTGCTTTCTAGTTTTCTATCTTTTTTTTTTATCCACGTTTGAACAACCGATTTTATATTAAACCTGAAAATGTAGCTATGAATACCTATCTAGCATATGATTAGTAAGATGCATATTATTTATTTTATACTGCATGTGACATTAATACTTTATGTATTAATGATGCACATTCAAAACATTTTATTTTCAAGTACCATTCTGTTTTAAAAGTTAGCTATGGAAATTTGTTTATTAAAAAATTAATTTATAAAAGAAATATTTTACGGTATAATATCCAATCACCTCAATATTCTGTGCCTTTGCAGGGAGAAGAAACAAGTAAAGAATTAACACTCCAGGAACCTTTGGAAGGACTAGAAGACAAAGGTACACTCTAATTGTGATTTAAAGATCTTCAGGAATATCTCTAAAGTGATCTTATAGTACATGTCTCTTCAAATGCTTTCCAAGAATTGCATGTAATTTTCTTTCTTAGTTTTCATCGTTGATTATTAGTACTATCAATGATTAGTTTCTAAGGTATTAATTGAATATGGAGAAGAAAATGCCCAAAAATCAAAGACTAAACAATACTTTTATAAACATTCAGTCTCATGGTTGCATACATGATATCCAAACCAAACCATGTCTCCTTTTGTTTCTGTAAGATATCACTGTAAGGTTCTTTTATTCTTTCTTCTCTGTGTTTTTAATGTGATTTGTGTTTTTGAATTCATTAATTTCATTAATAATTTTGTTATGCTCAAACAACAATGGAGTTACAGTAGCTTTCTTTTTTTCACTTATTTTCTGTAATTTTTCACCATGCCTGGGAAGCTGGTATTATTATTTTTCAATATTTTGATATTTGGGAGCATATTGCCCTGGAAAGCTCATGACAAATTTAGCTATGTTGTTTTCTGTATTCAATAATTGGTGAAGTGAGTAATACTGATATTGATGAGGTGGAATACTTGATTACTTCATTTTGATTGAACAGTGTGAATAAAATTGACTGCTCGATTATTTGTTTATCAATTTGCTTAGGACTCTGTTGCTTGTACAGTTAAGATTAATTGTCTGGTCACTCACAGGTGACCATGTATACTGAGAGTTACTTGCACTTTATAAGAACTGTGTTCCATGATTCCTGCAAGTATTACCTTCATGGCTCAGTGTCACTATAGCTCGGTATCACAGTTTCTATTATAGCATGCATCTTTGAAGGACAGCAGGGCCAAACCATACATCTTGAAAACATAAGTATGTGGCAAAGAGGGATTGATATGATTACAGTTTCTTCTGTTATCCTTCTCTAATCACAACCATTGTTGCCAAGGTGTGGCTGGAAACGCGGGAATTTATTATTCATAAGCTTCACGTTCTTGTTAATAGTGCCAGAAAATATGCCTGACTTTAATGCAATGGCTTTTTGGATCAGTCTGTTTGCTTTTACAGCTACAGACTTCATAGAGTTGGGGTGTGACTTTGAGGCCTGTTGATCTCCTTTGTGACTTAACTGCTTCCTTGGAGAACATTGAAGATGCTCTTTCTTCAACATTTTGTGTTCTTTGGCTCTGCATTGAATAGTATTGCTCTATAATAATGTTTTCCTTCTAGCTATAAGTCTGTTTGGTGGTATTACACTGGTTAAGTTATCAAGATCTAAGGTCTGAACACTTGACTCCTAGAGTATAGGATTGTATCTGCTACAACATGCTACTTCATGGAAGTAAATCATTCTTATAAGGCATGATTAACCCTCTGTAGTAGGCCTGTACAGCAGCATGTTTAAAATTCTCTTCTGTTCCAAATGCTAAACAATGAGTTTCAGAGACTCATTTTCAATGAAGGTGACTACTAAGTCATTCATTAGTTAGTGTCAACCATAAGTCATTTACAGTATGGTCAAAATTGATTTCTATCTTAAATGCTAATCAGTAAGCCTAGGAGATTTTTTAAAAGTGTAAATAAAGCTGGTTACTAAATTATTGATTAGTTAATGTGTCTAGCATAGGTCATTGTCATTATGGTAAAAAGTGACTTCTTTTTTATAGCTAATCAGTGAGTTTCAGAGACTTCTGCCAGTTTAATTGAAGTCATCTTCTAAGTTGCTAATACGCTTCCTTATTAATTGCTAATCCACAGATCTAGGAGACTGCTGACAGTATGTTTATAGTTGACTACCTTGTTACTCACTGGCCATCAGGTCTAATGGGCTGATGCTAATATGATCCAAGGTGGCTTCCATATCAGTTGTTAATTGCTAGACATAGTAAACTGCTTTCAACATAGTTGATGCTAACTTACTTGGTCAGTCATATGTTTTCTTTGCTAACCTACCTAGGAAGTTTAATAGATGAGGTTGAGTTCTTGATGTCTCATATTGCATTATCCAGTTAGAAGAATGTAAGCCTTTTAGTATTTCTCAGTCTTTAAATTAGCTTGTTAATCTATAGACCTATAAACTTCAAATTGATGAATGTCTACATACATGCAATATTAATTGTGCCTTTGTAATAAAACTTAACATGTTTTATTTTAGCAATGTAAAACTTGCTTTTCAACCACTTAGAATAAAAAGTTTCATCAAATAAATACAAGTTATTTTCTGTTGATTGATTTCAGATGCAAAAAATGTTTTTCTAGTACTTGCTTCATTTCTTAAAAAATATAACTTGCTTGTTTGCAATACTCAGTCATTTGTTGAAAGATAGAATATGTGTTTTTGTACAAAATACATTTATGTGTGTGTGTGTGTTTGATGAGAAACAGAATACTTGTTTACTTGGAAAATGAAATGTATTTTATTTTGTCTTTTGCTGAAAATTAAAATTCTTGTAGCTTAAAATAAAATGCTTGTGTATCTGGTAAAAAATAACAGTTCAGCTTATGATTGGCAAAAAAAAAGACATCTGTATATATTTGGTAAAAGATAGACATCTTATATACGTAGAAACAAGTACATCTCTGTGTATTTGCTCTAAAGATATAATTTTTGTAATTATAACATACATTTTTTTATTTTAGATGCAGTAAACAAGGAAGAGTCAGATCTAGAGCAAGATCTTGCACAAGAAAACAAAAACCTTATAATCAAATGCACTTCATTAGAGGAAAAACAGCACCAGTTGTTGGACAAAATTAGTAATCTCCAGTCAATTTCTAGTCAGGTGTGATATCTTGGTTTTTCTGTAAATGTAACATGGTTGTTTGTTTTCTGTGAAAGAAAAATTATTAGTATTTAATTAATAAACTTTAAATGTATGAATATGTACACACACATTTCAGACTGAACCTTTTTTGCACATAATCTATTATTTTTGCTTCACTTTATACATTTTTGATAAGTTATTGTTAGAATAGTTTTATTTTGATACATAATTTGAACAAAGAGATGAAATTATGATTTTTATTTGTGATTTTTTAGAGTTCTGAGTATGATCATTCAGATTTTGTAGCTGTGAAACTGCAAACATTTTGTATAGTTACTGAGCACTTTATATGAAAATGAAAGTTGTCCTGAGATTAAAATTTTGTTTTTTCCTACTTGTACTCAGCCATAATACACTGAGAGTTCTGTTCAGTTCTATTTTAGCAAAACTACGGATACTAAAGGCATTAAAATGTAGTGTGCTCTGTGAAATATTTACCTGTCTTCCGTATTGCAGAATGATTGATCATAGTTTAAATTATAAAAGATGACCCATAAATGTCAGTTTTACTTCTGATAAAGAGCTATTTTAGATGGTAATTAATATTAGTATTAAAGATATTTAAATATTATAATTTCTGGTGAATTAATTAAGTTGCAGATGTTAACCCTACATGCACGGGTGAGGGTTAAAGTGCAGATGTCATGACCTTTTATACAGTACCAATAAACATTGTATATTTGAAGCCAGAATTACTTTTCATTGTTGATTTAGCAAATAGTTCATGGTAGAGGAAGGTAAATATCAGATATGATGTATAGGAATACTGAACAAACTGTAGATCTGCATTTCCTAGGTTCTAGAGGGTATGCAAATGCAACATGTGGACTATATGATGGATAAAAGTATTTCTTTACATGAACATCATCAATACACAAGCATTTTGTGTACAAATACATTTGTAACACATCTAATCTTTTGTGTGCAACAGACTTGTATATATTACTAAAATCTTGCCACAGTTTATGTAGGCATACTTAGTAAATTCAGGACTATAGTTAACATTCCTTCTTTAATAAAGGCAATTCAATTAACTGACCCTATGCACATTATTTAATATGAGCAACTGCAGAAAACTTGGTTATAAAATATTCTAATATGTTAAGAACCTTATTAATGCTTATCTATAAAATGTATCTAGTTTTAGAAATAGTCCATTAAAAATAGTTCTAATGTGATTTGTATTAATTTAGTGATAAATCCATTGCAAATTTCAGCATAACTGGTTTTTTTTTTTTTTTTACTTGTACTAACTTAATACACTTAGAATCAGCAACAATTTACAATTTTTTTTGTTTATTATTAGAACAGGTCTAGAACTGCTTGGGGGGGGGGGGTAATTATTCATAACAAGTCTCAGTAGTTTTTGACACTGTAAAACTTAAACATATGCATGATGGAGTTTCTCTTGATGCAGTTCCAGGATCAGCTAAAGCAAGAACAGGAGGCAAAACAGGCACTAGAACTTCAGTTTGAAGAGATGAAAGAAAGTCTTCATCAAAATTTGGTTTGTTATTCTTTTTTATTTATGCTTCTTTATCCTTTTGTAAAAGCATTGTTTTATATGAGCAATTTCTCATTACTCAAAAAAATAAAATATTATAAATTCAGAAGAAATATTAAGGATTTTATTGATTACTTGAATTTCAAATTTTAGTAGAGATTTTCCAGTAGTTATGATTTATTAATGTAACTCTTTAATATTAATATAAAGATATATTGTAAAGAAAACCACTTACCTTGTTAACAGTCAATATTTTGAAATATAGTAGTAAAATAAGAATGTTCTGGAATAATAACTCGTTTCTATACACAGAAATGTTATCTTCCTCATCATCTGCCTATGAGATATGCATACCACTAACCTTGGGCTAACTCCCACCTAAACTTGCATGTTTAACGTGAACTGCAGTGGTGCATGATGATGTCATCATGCAACAAAAGACCTCCACCAGTAAGAGGGTGACATAAACTTCATGCATGTTAACTCCAATGCACTTGCACCTGTGATAACTTCATTCGTTTCCTTGGCATTGCATGAAACAGACGTGTTCGTATTACTCGTCTAAGTTCAATTTAATGAGATTTGCAAGCATTCATGAAACTTTGATTTTCATATTACATGAGCTTGTGTTTCAAAAGCTTTACTTCTTTTCATGGATTCGTAAGTGACAATGACTTCAACTTTATCCTATGTGAGTGATGACTTTACACACAGAGACCCTGTTTCTACTTTGGCTTCTGGAGGCTTGTTCACTTTCCTCCTTTGCAGAATATTAGTATTTATTTTTTTTCCTTTCTCAAACAACTCCACAGTCTCATCCACTTTTTCTGCTCTGTCCTTCCTTACTTGGTTATTTTGTTGTTTGGTCTAAATGCTTTCCACCTTGATGTGCACCTTCCTCCTCCTCCTCCCTTTTCTTTTTACTTCATCTAGCTCCCTTTCTTCACCCAGAAGTCTTTGGTGTTGTCCTGTTTTGCTCGAGACTTGGGGTGAAGTAGCATGTCTTCAGTCCTCATTATCTTCCCTTGATTTCCATGATTCTCTGCCTTGTCTTTTGATTGCTGTTCTTCAGTTGATTCAATCCACTCCTAATCTTCTAATTTCAGCTTCCAGGCCTTCCCCTTTTTCTTGTCCTCCCACTACCCAGAATTTGACTCATCACTGTTGTTGGTGGTGGCTATCCAATTGAGTCGGGCCCTGTGGATACCCGTATCTCTATTTCTTTGTTAACCATTGGTCTTGGGTTTCTTCTGAATAACAGATGTTTTTCAGGTTATCTCCCACTGTTCTCTTGATGTTTAGTCTCGTCTTTTTGTGGTCCCTAACGAGACCAGGGACTGACATCCAGTAACTTCCCTATTGTATCTCAACCACTTTCTGGTGGTTCCACAATTCTGCATAGAGTTGTCATGTTGAGTAAACATGCCATTACTACTTCCGGTGTTCTCTTATTAATCCACCCACCCCAGACTAGATCTCCATATCTTCACCAGTGCTTCCATCTCAACTTGGGGCACATCTCTGAATGACAATTTGATTCTTGGTATTTGAACACAGGACAATAATTCTCTCACATCAGTGAGCTCAAATATCTCACTGTTCATCAGGCATGTTACCATTTCCTGCCTCTTCTGTTGGATCAATTGGCCATAGTCCACTCTGAAAATTTCACAGTTGTTTCTTATATCAACTGTCAAGGGTGCAACCATTTCAGAACCCTTTGCTTTCAGGCTTTAGACCTATTCTTCTGGTCTCATTTGCATTGGACTCGTATTATTGCCTGTCGGATACAGATAACTATGAACCTTGAGGTGGACTGCCTCTCTCAACTGAACTGTGTTCTGCCCACAGAATGGTCTCTCCACTACCAGCTCTTGAGTTGGGTCTGCTCTCAGTTGAGCACATCTCTTCTAGGTGCCTTTGCCACCCATCTCAATTTCAAGCTTCCTCTCTTCTGGTCTACTGTTCCTCTTTCTCTAGCTCTGGCTACTGATACTCTCAATCAGAACAGGTCTCACCTTTTCTCTATATACCTATCCCCTCTTCTTCTTTTCCCTCTGGTCTTTCCCTTATTACATGACACCCCTTGTTGGATCCTGTTAGTGGCACCTCTTTGGCTAGTTCAGCATTGGTTTCTTCAGCTTCTTTGTTTGGCATCCAGATCCCCTTCCTCTACCTAATATTCTCTCTCTAATGCTTCAACCTCACACATCCCTTCCTTCTTCACCGACCTCCTCACCCAACTCCCATGGATGATTGAGACTTTATCATATCTTTGTATGCTGTCACAAGTGACCCAATCGAGCCATTGGCTTTTTGCTCTTTATACTACCTTTCTCTTAAAACATATTTCGTCTTTCTTCTCGCCTGTTGTCACTGTCATTTGTACATCTATGCTATTACTGCTTTTCACACACTCTTTCACTGCACTTCTATTCTCCTCTATGCCTCTCCTTCCTCAGACTTCTGCTGCTTGAGAAGGTGACCATACTTTCACTCTTATTTTCCCTTCCTTCTGCCAGTCACCTCTGTGATAATTCAGCTCCAGATTAGCTCCTGTGTGTTGTTTGGGCTGTTTGATGTTATTTGTCATGAACCACTCCCTTTCAGGGTCTCCATTCTCACCTGTTTCTACCTTTCATCCTCTCTTCTTCCAAGGACCTCTCTCCTTCTACTCTTACTGGATGGGTCTCTCAACTTCTCTGATTGAAATATGCTTCCCTAGATGTTGATGATTGCAAGCCATTTCACATTTCTTCTCATCTAATTGATCTCCTGTCTCACTGGTGACTAGCATTGCCTCCAGGGTATACGTATTTACCAAAATTTTTATTGAGCCAGGAAAATGCTCAGACCATCTGCTGTGTAACTATAAGATGTGGTCTCCCACAGGTGTGCACCTCTATGGAGCCCCTGCATCAGGTGTCACACTCCATGGGCTTTCCATTCAGGCACTTTCTAAAGGGAGCTCATTTAGGTTTTAAGGATTTTGCACTGGACCCTCCACCACTTCAACTTGGGATTCTAGCATTTCTGTGTGAAGAGGGGAGTTATTGTCTCAGAACTAACATTTTCCTAATCTGAAATATATTTCTGATAGATACCTCTCCACATGTTTCTACTTATAACTACCCACTTCCTGTTTGTTTGTTTTTTGTCTCATATAAGAATGAAGTAATCATGAGTGCAATTGCCTAGGGGGATTTACTGCATGTGGGCGTTGTATCAGCCTCTTATTGATGAAAGGCTTTTGTCACATAATGACATCATGCACCAACAGAGTTAATTTTAAACATGTGCATTTAGATACGAGTTAGATCAAGGCTAATGACATGAAAATCTCACAGGCAGATGCACGAGGAAGATAGCATTTCTGTGTATGGATGTGAGTATTTATCAGAAATACATTTTCAAATTAGGAAAATGTTAACTTCCACTGATTCATTATGATTTGTGTTCATTAAGATACTAAACTTTTTGATTAAATCTATTGGAAAGAAAGAATAACATTTGAACGATTGAGATTTAAAGTTATAGAACTTCTTGAAGAAGCCAATGAAAATGGATTTTATTGTGGAAACCATAATTTAAAGTAATTCTACTTTCTTTAAAATATACAAGTCAATGCACAAACTCTTTTTTTTTTTCCATTTATTTCTAGTGGTGAGATGTCTTTAGCAAAGAGGAAACTGTTATATTGAAATGTTTCAATGGGTTTCAAGTTTTTCTTTCCCAAATTCTCATAATTAGTCAGCTGTAATGTACGTAAATAAATTAACAGTTTAAGTAATGTGAATATAATTTAAACAACATTTCATTACCTCGTGCCTAAGAAACTAAAGTATAAACATTATTGCCAGCTTAATCTGTTAGATGAAAATGTAACGAATGTTGTGCCAGCTTTACTTTGCTACTTTATAACAAAATATTTAAAATTTCTTTGGCTTTAAGTTTTTATGTAATTAATCATTTTGATTACAAAGAAAAGGATAATTCTAAAGAATTGTATCAAGTGTTAGTGAGCATGAACACATTTAAAAGTATACAAGTGCATGTTGTGTCACTTAAGATGTAATTACATTGAAGAGATCCTCATATTAAGTTTTTTTATATGGTGATCCTTATAGAAGCTAAAGGTACTACCTATTAAAGCACTTGAGCCTAAGTTCTGTGTTCAAGTAAAAGTTTTTATGACTTTCTAAACAGTAGTCTTATGTTGTAGATTAGCAAAACTTTGAATGTCAATATACATTTTTGAAAATAATCATTGATCTTTAAAAGTATGACATGAAAGTTACATATGGGAAAGTAATTAAAAGGTATTAAAAAAAAAACCTTTGTCTGTAAAATTTTTATATACAGGAACAGACAATTAAGCTTTCTCAAGAAAAGGAGAGTAAACTAACTGAACTTGAATCATTCCTGGAGGTATTAAAGCTAGAGAAAGAAGCACTGGAGACAAAAGTAAGGGAGATTGAAGAACAGAAAACAGGTTGGGATCTGAAATTCAACTCCCTTTATTTCCAGTATTAGTAAATGTACATTATATCCATGTGATTATTTCATTTAAGTATTTTAAAAGTTTCAGAAGTGGTTAATTTCTTTTTGTTCAACTTTAACTTATATGGAGTATAGTTGCAGAGATGGGGATTGCTGGCAGATATGTGAGATTGAACATTTATGTTCTGTTTTTAACATGAAAAAATGAGACTCTAAATTTAAAAAAAAAATTATAGGTATGTTACCTAAGAGATTATATCCATGACAAATCAACATCCTGTTGTATAACGTGTATAGTAATATTTATTGAAATGTTTTTGTTGTCTAGCATTCCTTTAAAAATTACAACTTGTTGTTATGTGTCTAAGTTTGTTTTTATTAGTATCAAAGTTTGCTTTTTTCATCATAAAAATCTCATTAGTTCTAGTCTGTTTGTAATACTATTTTAGATCACCTATAAGATGAGTCTGAGTAAATTCTAATGATTAGATGAACTGTTTTCATATGTGCTTTTCTTTCCAGTGAAACAGTATCATGAAATAATTTATTTCTGATATGAATATGAGAAGAAATGAAGTTTTTGAAAACATTTCTCCACTTGTAATAAAATCAAACAATCTATAAAATATATGTAATATGTGAGTAGAATGTGACTAGACATTTAAATGTTTTCTTTCAATTTTTGTTACTATGATTATGATAGTCTTTTTTTTATTTCATGAAATGAAATTTGGGTATGTTTGATACAATATTTTGCTCCTGTCCTGTTCTTCTTTACATTAGCTTCATGAAAATTTTAATATGCCCTTTCTGACCTTACATATTAATCAAGTGAATTCTTGAGTTTTTTTGACATAAGATAGTTTAAGCTTATTTATCTATAGGAATAGAATATTGTGAAAGATTAAAGATTTTTTGTAACTTGAGTTTTGTTTTGTATTTGTGTGTGTGTATTATCACCCTATCTGTATAATAAAAGTTACTGTCTACTTCTTTTAAGTATGTATTTGTATAGGTAATTGAAATCCCTTGCCAATGTACCTTTGTGTCTTTATTACCTGCAGCTGACTTTTTCTGAAAATTAATTTAAGTACAGTATTTCACTGTAACAGTCTAAATGAAAACTATATTGAATGTTTTGATTTACATCCTATATACACATTTATGAATTTTTATTCAGGTGGTGACCAAACAGTCCATCAACTAAGAGAGAAGATTGATAACCTATTGGAACAGATAGAAGATCAAAAGCAGTCAGTTCTAGATGTGGAAAAAGATCGAAATAGAGCACAAGTAGAACTTGAGGAATTAAAGAATTCTTCTGAACTTGACAGAAGAAAAATTCAAGACCTAGAGAAACACTTGGAAGCCACAAAAAAAGAAATGAATGAACTGTTAAATCATCATAAGACTATCCTAGAGGAGAAGGAAAGTCTACAAGAAAAACTAGATGCTACATTAATGGAACTTAATATTACAAGACAGCAGGTTTCAGACACTGTACATGAGTTGGAAATATCACAGCATTCACAGAAGGAAAATAAGGATTCTCTTCTTGATTTGAGAAGAGAACTTGATAAAAGCTCAACTCGGCTATCAGAGTTTTTCTCGAAATGTGGATTTCAGAGCATTGATGAAGCTAACTATAGATGGACTGAAGTTCAAGAAGAATTGACTCGGTTGGAAAATGAAGTGGATGTATTGAAAACAAAGAAGACGTCCCTTGAAGTTCAGATGTCAGATTTACTGGTTCAACAGTCACAAGCAGAAGAATGTTTCAAAACAGAAAAAGATCAGCTTAAGACAAAGCTGGATGAACAAGATATGAAATATAATCAGCTTCATTTAGAATTATCAGAAAAGCAGAACATGGTTGACAAGCTCTTGGAAGAGCTAAAAGAAAAGAAAATGGAGATCCAGGTTTTCTTAACCAAACAAGGAGAACAAGATCATAAACTTTCAGAAATAACAGCTGAGGTTGAAAAACAAAAAGAGTTTTTAGAAAATTTTCAAACAGAATTAGAAAATAAAGATATGAAAATTAAATCTATCGAGTGTGAAATTGACACTAAAAATCAGTTGAATTCAGAACTTACTCTTCAACTTAGTCAGGTAAAGAAAGATCATCAAATTTTGCAGGAATCGTATTCATCTGAAGGCAAGAAAAGTGATTCCAAAGTTTCCTCCCTCATGGAACAGATATGGGATTTAGAAACTGAAGTTTCTCGTATTCAAAAACAATTAGAAGAGAAAGATAAAAGTATTGAATCCTACAAAAAACAAGTGGAAGATTCCAAACTTGAAAAGGAAATTCAAATGAAAGATTATGAACTGGAAATTGAAAGTAACAAAAACAGAATACAAAATTTGGAAGAAGACATAAATTATTTACAAAATCAACTTTCTGGTTTTGTTGATGCTGTAAAATCTAAGGATGATGAAATAAATAAAATCATGAGAGAATACGAAGATCAGAATAAAAGTAATGTAGACCAGTTGCAGGATTATGAGTTTACAGTAAAAAAATATGAAGAAGAAAACTTGCGGTTGAGTAGCGAGAAAAATTTCTTAGCTCGTCAACTTGATGAAAGTAATGATAAAATTCAAGAACTACAGCAGCTCATAAAAGAAAGTGATAATTATACCAAAAACTTGGAAGGTCAGATTAATCAGTCTGATTCACATCTTGCTTCATTAAATGAAAAGCTTAAAAAATTACAAAATGACATTGAAGCAAAGAATCAAGAAATTATATCTTTAAAGAGAGGAAATGAGGAGGCAATTGAATCACTGAAACAACAGTTAGTAATATGTTCCAAGGAAAATAGCTCACTCAAAGAAAATAGTCTAAATCTCAATTCATCTTTAACAAAATTACAAGAACAGGTGAACCATCTCCAAGATTATATTGCTGAATTGAAGTCATCTAAAGAATCTGATGCTTCAGAGTTGAGTTCTTTGAGAAACAAATATCATGAGGTGCTACAAAAAAATCATGAAATTCAGGAAGATTTTAATCAGCAATACTCAAAATTACAGAAAACTGAGCATGAAATGAAAGAAGCTTTGGTTTTAAAGATACAAGAAGAAACTGAAGCTAGGTTACAAACAAAAAATAGTGAAATTACATGTTTGAAAGAAAGCATTCAGGAACAAGAAACTATGATAGAAGAACTGAAAAAATGTATAAAATTAAAAGAACTAGAAGTTAGTGAAATAACTCAAGACCAAGAAGAAAAACATAAGGTACTGGAGAGTTTAGAACACGATAAGGAATTTTTGGAGAATGCACTTCAGGAGAAAAATTAGCTCTTTTAACATGCTACAGGCAACTGTTCAAAGTATTGAGCAAGAAAACGTTCAGTTGAAGTCAGAAATACAACAGTTATCTCAGGAAGTTTTGACTGAAAAGAAACAAAAAATGTTGGCTTTAGAAAAAGAATCAGCATTACAAAAAAATATAGAGCAACTAAACAGTGAAGTTCAAACACTTCGACACTCTTTACAGAAGACATCAGAAAATATTCAATGTCTAGAACCTTCTGTTGAAGAAAACAGAGTTTTAAAAGATCAGATAGAGCAACAATTACAGGCAAAATATGATGCAATGTGTGCAGAGTTACAGGAAAAACTGACAGAAATAGAGAATCTTACAGTTGAAGTTCATTGTTTAAACAACCAGCTTCAAGAAGCTAAATCAGAATCTAAGTGCATGCAGGAAGAATTTGACAAATGCCAAAAATGTGGAGAAACAACTCAAGAACAGCTTAAAGAATGTCAAGAGAGACATGAAGTGTTACTTAAAGAAAATGCATTACTCCAAGAAAGGACAAATGAGATGAAAGAATCTATGGATCAATTATCAACAGATTTACAAGATTCTAATGAAGTTAAAAATTCTCTTCAACAGGAAGTTGAAAGACTGAACTTAGAATTATCTTTTAATGAAAAACTGAAATCTGAGTTTTCAAAAGCTGAAGCTCATTCAAAACAATTAAGTGAATCAAATAATCAGCTACAGCTCAAAGTGGAAAACTTACAACAAGAACTTAATGTTTTGTGCCTCAGCAAAGAAGATTTACAGAGTGAAATAAAAACTGTCATAAAAGATTATGAAAAGCAAATTGCTGATCTAAGACAAAAAGATGAAGATAATTTTAATATTGTTAATGAATTGAATAAACAGCTGAAAGAAAAAGAGCATCATAGTGCTGCTGATAAAAAACAAATTGAAAGGCTTCAATTTTTTGAATCCGAGTATCGTGATTTAGCTGAAAAGTTTAATGAAATAGAGGAGACTTACAAGTTAGAAGTACAACAGATACAAAATGTTAATATAGAACTTAAAAATCATGCTCATCAATTGGAAGAAGATATCAAATCAGTGACAGAAAAGTTGAAAGCAGAAGAAAGTGAAAACTCAAACTTTTTAACTGCCATAGAAAAAGAAGTTTCTGAAAAAAAATCCATCCAAACACTTTTACAAGAAGCACAAAAGACTATATTAGTTTTAGAGAATTCAGTTAACGACCTGCAAGATGAAAATTCAGAAGCATTAAGGAAAACAACAGAGTTGGAAAATAAAAACTTAAATTTAGAAGAAAAAATTGCAGAAATGGAAATAACATTAGGGAAGTCAGAAGTGGAACTGACTACAACTCATCAGCAGTTTGAGGAAGTTCAAAATAGAATGCTAGCCATTCAGAAGGAAAATTTCATGCTGAATTCTAAGTTTTCCTATTATCAGCAACTAACTGAAGAAAAAAGTGAGCTTGAGTTAGCCATTCATAAAATTCAAGATGAAAAACAACAGCTTCATGAACAGATTCAAAAATATGAAGATGAACTAAGATCATTTGAGCACCTCGATAAAAAACAGAAAGATGAATTGAACAACCTCAAGGCTAAATTTGAAGAAATTGAACTTAATATGCAACAAAAAAATGAACATATACATGTATTACAGTGTGATTCAAGTGAGAATACACAAAAATTATCTTTAGAATTAGAGTCTTGTCATAATCAGATTCAAGAGCTACAAATTCAAGTTCTTAATAAAAGCCAAGAACTAGAAGATGCTCATCAGTATGCTCAAGAAAAGGATGAGAAAATAAAAAGTGTGAATGATGAACTAGTTGTACTGCAAAATAACTTAAGGGAAGCCGAAGAATCATTAATTGTGTATAGAAAAGAACTGGAAAGCCTTGGAAGTAGCATAGTAGATAAAGATAGTGAGATTTCCAATTTAACTGAAAGGCTTGGTATTGTAAATACTGAGCTTAATTCTGTCTTAGCTGAAGTGAGGACACTTTCTGCTAGATTAACTGAAAAGGAGGAAGAGTACAATGAACTAAACTTGAAACATAAAGAAAATCTTAAAAAAATAGAAGCCCAAGAAGAAGAAATAAATATTCTTCATTCTAAGACAGAAAGTCTGGTGTTTGAACTTCAAGATGCTCAGAACAGTCTGGAGCATTCTGAAAAATCATACAGAGACTTAAAAAAGATTCTCAGTGGTCAGGAAAAAACCATCGGGGATCTGGAAGACCAGTTATCAAACCAAATGGAGAAAAGTCACCATCAAGAAGATCATATGAAAAAAGTTAAAACTGAGTTGGAATGTGCTCACAATGAAATTCAGAAAGAAAAAGAATTGACAAAAGTGCAACAACTGCAAATATGTTCTTTAGGAGAAAATATTTTACAATACCAAATAGTTGCAAATGATCTTACCATTGAGAAACAGAGGCTGGAACAAAAATGTGAAACATTGGTTTCTTTTCAGGATATGAATTGTGCTCTTGAAAATGAATTAGAGTCTTTAAAGTGCAAACTTAATGAAAGAACTGTCAAAGAATTTGAAGGAAGCAATGAAACAGAAGACCTTAGAAAAACACTGAAGCAAGCCAGGGAAGAAATTGAATCAATGCGCAAAGAACGAGATAATTTGTCTTTAGAAATGGAGGAAATGAAAAATACTCTCCAGAAGAAAAATAATGAGTTGCAATATAAAGAAGAAGAAGTCAACAAATATCTTGTATCAAATCAAGAACTGAACCAGAAAATTGAAGGCTTTCAAACGTTATCAAAAGAAGCTGAATCACTTAAACTTGAGATAGACAATTTATTATTAGATAAGAAAATGCTGCAATCTCTAGTGGATGAACTCAATGATGAAAAACAAGATTATAAGGAACATAAAGATAATTTGCAAAAGAAAGAAATGGAAAATGCAATGCTTCACCAAAAATTAGAAACGAAAGAATTTCTCCTTGATAAATCGGAAGCAAAAATGCACGAGTTAGAAGCAAAGATTGAAAAAATTCTTGGTGAAAAACAATTTCTTGAGGATGAAAAACAAAAATTAAAAATAAAGGTTAAGGAAAGTGAAGAATTATACAAGGAAGTAACATCCAGTTTAATTTTCGAAAAACCCAAAACGGAAGAAAATTCTGCTTGCACTTGTGAGAAGGAAGAAGTTATTCGAGGACTAGAAAATCAGCTTAAAAGAGTTAATGCTGATTATGATGAGCTTAAATATTCTATCCAGAAGGTGGAGACACAAACGGAAGAAAAAGAATTAAAATATTTTTCTGAAGAAGATACAAGTGAAAAAAATGCTGTAAATTTGAGCAAACAACAAGATCTACAGAATCAGGCTCTGATCAAGGTTGAAGAAGAAAAATGGCAAAAATCTTCTGATAAACCAGCTCGTGAGTCTGATCCTGAAATAGATGTCTTTAAAAAAGAAAATGAAAATTTAAAACGTGAGCTAGAGTTATCCAAAATTAAAGCCATGAAAATGCTAACAAAACTTAAACAGTTTAAAGATAAGAATGAAAAACTGCAGAAAGAAGTAGAGAATCTGTCATCTAAGATACATGACAAAATGCAAGTAAAAGCTCATGAGAATAAAATTGAAGAATGTCTGAAAAATAAGGAATATATTATCAGTAAACTCCAGAAAGAATTAGCCACAGATTTAGATATTCATAAAAAAACTATCCAACAAATGAAAAATGAAAGGACCCTTCTTCAGGAAACAAATGATGAATTTACTGTAAAACTAAAATTTATTAGGGAAAAAATTGAAATACTTCAAAAGAATATTGCAGAATCTAATCAACAAAACAAAGCTCTGCACCACACAGTAGAAGAATTAGAAAAAGAGAAAGACATGTTCCAAAACAAGTGTCTAAGTTTAGAATCAAAGTATTCAAAACTCACTGATGATTATGAGGAGGAAAAGACTCTGAGAGAAAGTTTGCGACGTGAGTTACATAACTTGAAAGAGCATGAGCAGATGTTATCTTCTGATAACGAAACCTATCAACAAGTTCTTGAGGAATTGAGAAGTTCAAAACAAAATCTAGAAGAAGAGCTGAGAATAGTTAAAGAAATGCACTGCAGATCCTTTAGAGAGTTAGAAGCAAGATATCATGATGAATCTTTAAAGTTGAAAAACTTGGAGAGTACTTTGCAAGAACAAGAAGATATGTACCAGAAACTGTATTCAGATTATGTTGAACTGAAAACTAAATCTGATGAAGCTGTAATGGAAAACAGTAGTTTAAAAGAAAAATTAATAGAGTTTCAAAATGAAACAGATGGTGCTTTATATATGAAAAAGTGTGTTGAAGAAGCTCTTTTAAAAAGTCAAAATGAACTTGAATCCCTGAAAAAAGTTCAAGCTAGCTTTGATTGGGGTACATCTGAAAATGATGACACAGATATTATTCAAATTGAAGTTGAAAAACTACAGAAAGGGAAAGAAATCCAGAAGAATCAACTTCATGAGCTCCATAAAGAATGTGTTCAAAAGGCTTCAGAAGAATCTGAAGAGTTATGTAGAAGAAATGAAGAATTGAATAACAAAGTAATTTCCCTTCAAGAAGAACGGGAGCAGTTGTTGAATGAGCTAAATTGTACAAGAAACGAGCTTGACAAAATGGTTTGGAGCAACACAGAAGAAAAACAGAAGCTTGATTCTGAGATTAAGGAATTAAAGCTAATGGTCAATGAGTTCACATGGAAGAATGAAACCCTACAGCAGAAAGATAATTCTTCTCAGTATAAGTGGAAAGACGGTCCTGGTGAACTTAACCATGAGGTACTCCAAAAGCAAGTTCAAACTCTTCAGCAAGAACTTGAATCATCCAGAAAAGAGAACATAGCTTTATATTCTGAAAAGGCTTATCTTGAGGCAGCTTGCAAACAACTTCAGGAAACCAACCATGATTTACAGAAAAATGATATGGGTGGCCTTGCTCAAAAACAGTCTTTAGAAACCCAGGAGAAACTACAACAGGAACTTCAACAAGCAATGCAGAGTCTACATCAACAGGGATTAAAGACAGAAGTACTAAGTTTAAAAATAAATCAAGTAAGTAATGAACTTTGTGTGATATGTTTACAATATCTTCCCTGTCCTGTACAGGACTGCTGATAAAAGACAACAAAGAACAGGAAATTCCACAAAAAACAAAAAGTCTGTGGAATTCTATACATTTGTGAAACTTACCAAACTCTTAGAAATTTTCTGGAAAAAATCAAGAACAATTATTTTTGCATTTTGGAAAATAAATTGTCCTTGAGAACCCTACCTTCCACAATGTAACTGTCAATTATAAGATTGAGTACAGTCCAACGTTTTGTGTGAGTGTTAAACTGAAGGATATTGTCAGCAGTCTATCCAATCTTTTTAACACTTGATGAATAGAGTCACTGTTATATGTTTATGAAATTGAGTTGTTTTTTAATTAATGACCTCATAGTTTGGGTTGTTTTTATCCTGACCCTTTTACATTCAAATATATTGTCCAATTAAACGTTAAACTGTGTGTGTTTTTACATATATGTATTTTTCAAAGATTTCAAGCTCTGGTACACTATTTTTTTATTAAATTTTAACATTAAATAATGACAAGTTTCTGTTTTTTTCCCTAAAATACAGTTCATGACCATCAAATGTTTGTTATTCAGTTGCGAAACAACCAGTCTAATAGTTTGTAAAAAACTTTTTCTTTTGATGAAAGAAGTAATTCACTATCATTGGATCTCAAGAATTTTCCCACAACGAAGCATGAAATTTGGTGTTGTCACAAATGTAATGAAAAGTATCTTGTTTTTTCAGTGAATGTGAAATTTCTAATTGAACATTATAATGAAAGTAACTCTGTAGATACATAAAATGAGAATAGTGTTTGTGATACACATCAAGTTTTGGAAAGTTCTTCAGCTTGTTTCCTTATTGCTAATTCTTTTTCACAATCTCCTATTATTTTCCTATATTTTTGTTTTAGTTAGATACATCTTACCGTAATGACCCCAAAAAATTTCCTCCAAAGAAAATATATAAATTACTGAGATGTTGATGTTGTTATATTATTCATTACTGAAATTAAGAAATTTTTACCATTGTTTGCTGTTTAGCTGTTAGATGAAAAAAATGGTTTACAGTATCAGTTGATACAGACTCAACAAGATCTGCAAAGAAAAGAAAGAGAATTATCTGAATTCCACAAGCTAAGCTTATTAGGTCAACTTCAAGAACATGAATCAGCTCAAAGAAAAGTGATGGAATCAGTTGGAACACACCCTACGTCTTTTCAAGTAAGAAAATCTGTCTTTTGAGTCGGTTGAATCTTGGTCATGCTTTGTTGTTGAATTAAAATTATTTTTTTTTATTAGCGTGTAACAATTCATTGATTATCAGAGTTGAAATGTATGAGGTTAACTTATCAAGAAAGTTTTTAAGTTTCATTGAATTAAAGGTAAAAAAAATTATATGATTAAAAAATGCTACAGAAAGTCATATTTATATAAATTTGACAAAAATTAATTTGTTTTTCTTTGCAACTTGCTTTTTCAACTATCATATTTTGATAAAGTATGAGATATCTCCTGAAGATTGACTGGTTGATTTCGTGTCTAATAGTACCTTTACACCATGTGATATAGAAGTCAATTGACAAGCAAGTTATTCAGAAATGGAGAGGATTAGAAAAATAATTGCTAGTGGTATGGAATGAGGTGTTTTGGGCCACCCTATAGTAGTATTATTAAAGACATTCAAGACCAACTGCAAGGTGATGTCCTTCAAAACTTTTATTAATATGCATCATTCACCAAAATTGTCAGTTGCAAAGGTGTAGACAATAAGAAATGAAACACTTGAAACCAAATATTACCAAAATCACTCCACACCAACAACCACAGTTATAAGAATAAATGTAGGTAAACATCCTAACAGTATTATGAAGCAGTGAAAAATAGTTATCCAAATGTGAAAAATGCCAGTGTCACATTTGCTACATTGTCAAAACTGGTTGATGTTCTTGATCTGCCTATGCAGCATCTATGTGTAAAGGAACCTGTTGCATGCAGGAACTGAAACGCATTTTCTGTTATCTAAAAGGAAGGAACCATTCAGCATACAATATGTCAGGAGCCCAGGCATTCTGGGGAAATTATTCATAACAGCCATGTTAAACTGTTCAACAACTGAATACTTTGTCATGATTTACATGATTTGGGAGTAGCTGTTTTTGTGCTATCTTATGTAGGTAGTTTTTATTTTAACTTTCTTAATCTTTTGGACTCTTTAAAGTTCTGACCTTGCACCTCAATTCTAGGTTTGTGTAATAAATTTTGCTGTGAACAGATTTCAGTCTTCTATGACACAACTATCTGTATGTTTATATTATAATATATTGGTATACTTTGGTGAC